GTCCCTCTACAGGTGGATTGGGGGCGAAAGATCTAAGATAATCAAAACAAGTACCCCTAACATGTTCAAAAATCCTGCCACTGGCGACAGGTGCACCCTCATCCAGAAATCGAAGACTAGAGTTAGGTCGGGCATGTCCCTCTACAGGTGGCTTTTGGGTGAAACAATTAAGACAATCACGACACGTACCCAACACATGTTCAAACATACTAGAAACAAGCATCCCCATACCATGTTTGATTATTTTTATGTTTGTTTTTTTTTGTTTTTGATTATTCTTGGCTATTTTGACTGTTTTAAAAAGCTTCCTCCTGCAAAGGGACACGCCCGACTTGAAGCTAGAGCCGCTCGATCGAGCGGCCATCCCTTGGCACGGATTCGCTGGCGCAGCCAGGCCACCCCCTGCTCGTCGACGGCCGAAAAGCAACCAACGTTAGGTCGGGCATGTCCCCCTACAAGCCGATTTTGGGCGAAAAATGAATCAATAGTCAAACAATGCTCAAACAATACTAAAACATGCAAAAAATGGTTCCCGTAGTATTTTTTGACTATGTTTGAATATTCCTCTTGTAGAAGGACAGGCCTGACTTAACGTTGGTGGACTCCGTGGCCTGCTGAGCCGAAGCAGCTTCAAGACCGACTCGAAGGGCAGGGACAGCCCGACCGATGGCAGCACGACTTCTGGGATTGGGGGCGAACCAATTCTGAGCCTCGAAAGGACCTCGGAGCCAACGCGGGTGGGAGGCATGCAGGACTTGGCCAACTGAATGGCTTTCTCCTGACTCCTGCCTCCGCACTTTTACACAACAGCGAAACACGACTCAACATAAACACTTCAGCCCTGGGTAAGGGGTCGGGACTTCTGGGGACCGCGTATTGACAACGTATTGGCCTGGCGAAGAACCCAACTATCTGCAGTTGTGGGTACAGCCGTTGCGTGCACCGAACTCGGTGGAGCTCCCTATGAGGCCGCGAAGCGTGTGCGGGGTGTGCCAGAATGGGCGCGGTGGGCGCATGCGAACGCTGGCATTTGGGCCTTCGGTGGGGCTCCCAACAAGGCCATGCAACGTGTGAGGGGTGTGTCAAAATGGGTGCGGTGAGCGCGTGCGAACGCTGGCATTTGGGCCTTCGGTGGGGCTCCCTGTGGGGCCACGAAACGTTTGAGGTGTGCCAAAATGGGCGCGGTGGGCGCATGCGAACGCTGGCCTTCGGGCCTTCGGTGGGGGTCCCTATGGGGCCATGAAGCGATTGAGGTGTGCCAGAATTGGCGCGTTGGGCGCATGCGAACGCTGGCATTTGGGCCTTCGGTGGGGCTCCCTATGGGCCCCGAAACATGTGAGAGGCGTGCCAGAATGGGTGCGGCGGGCGCATGCGAACGGTGGCATTTGGGCCTTCGGCGGGGTCCTTTTGCGAAGCGTGTGAGGGGTGTGCTAAAATTGGTGCGGTGGGCGCGTGCGAACGCTGGCATTTGGGCCTTCGGTGGGGCTCCCTGTGGGGCCATGAGACGTATAAGGGCGTGCCAGAATGGGTGCGGTGGGCGCATGCGAACGCTGGGGCCTTCGGTGGGGTTCTCCATGGGGCCACGAAACGTGTGAGTGGTGTGCCGAAACAGAACTTTGCGGAGGGCAGAGGTAAGGAGGGTGACGAGGACGAGGGCTCAGCGGGAGGAGTGAACGCGGGGACCGTCTCTTCAAAACGAGGACCAGACACCACAGGATGGTTGGGAACATGACATCGCATGTCTGCGTCTGCACCCTCTGAAGGCCAGGCGTCCAGAGAACGCCATGCCCTCACCGTGGCCGACGACGGATCCGAGCATCCCGAGAAGTCTGGCCCCGCAGATTCAAAGGACAAGCAAGGAACAAACAGGGCCGCCAGTGGTGGTGTTCGCATGCTGCTCCCCCACCCAATGCAGCCTTTCGTGGCCCATTACGGAACTCCACCGGAGGCCTCAATGGTTGTGTTCGCATGCGGTGCCCCCACCCAGTACAGCGCTTCGTGGCCCATAGGGCGCTCCACCGAAGTCGTCACTGGCGGTGCTCGCATGCTTCTCCCCCGCTCAGTACAACGTTCCGTGCCCCCATAGGGGAGCTCCACCGAAGGCCTCGATAGCAACACTGTTTCTGCAAAGCAATCGCAGGGCTCGAGACATCCTTCAAAAACCTGCGCGCAAGTCGCACTGCAAACCATGAATTTTCTATCTATAGCGTTCTGTAAAAATGTCGCATCTCCTCGCTATCTGATTGAGATTCGGCGCAAAACGCCCCGCACCTGATTTTACGAAGGTCCGCGGACCAAGCTAAGCAACGAGGATTCGAGATGGGGGGCGCACTTTCCTCGAGTGGGCACGCGCGAGACGCCGTTGTTCCACTCCAAATGGGACGTCACGTCACTATTTACCGCAAATTAATCCGCCGGCCCAGCGCGAACTTGGCACTGGAAACGCGTTTACCTACCACACGAATTGACCCACGAACCCAGAAAAAATGATTTCGGAATTGCGAGGCATGGCGACGTTTTCGAAAAATCCGTTTGGGTGACGGACGACTGCAATGCTGAATAAATCGTTCGTGATGTGCTGTGCCAAAGACAGGAAATGTGTCATGCCACGATGAATTACGTTGTGCCCTTTAGCGTTGTGGATCAAGTCGGCCTTAGCATCCGAAATCTGATCGAACGGATTTGGATCTTAAGCTCGAGCTGACTGAACGCATGGCTGGCCCAGACCTGGTTGCAGTCGAAGCGCGTGGGGCGCTCATTCAGCTCGAGCTCAAGATCCGCTTCAAGTCCGAAGCGGGGCGAGCCGACGCGGGGCGCATAGACGCGCCACGAAATGTGCCATGGGCGCACTAGGGGATGCGCCAAGGGACGAGCCAGGAGACGCGGCAAGGGACGCGCCACCGAACGGGCAGGGGAAGCGCCAGGGGACAAACCAGGGAACGCGACAGAAAGCGAGCCAGGGGACGCGCCAGGGGACGCGCCAGGGGGGGCGTCGCGCCAGGGGACGTCGCGAGCGACGCGCCAAGAGACGCGCCAGCGCGCCAGGGGGCGCGCCACGGAACGTGCCAGTGGATGTGCCAGGGGTTGTGCCAGGGGGCGCGCCGCGCGATGTGCCAGAGGGCGCGCCGCGGAACGTGCCAGGAAGGGTCTGAACCCTCAGAGACGGGCAATCTACAGGAATGCGCGCAACGCACAAAAATGATTCGAGCTCAAGAAAAGGGCTACTATAAGGAATATATACAAAACGCGAAAACGCGCGCCCCAAGAGAGGGGCACTCTATAGGAACATACGTAACACGCTGCAACTTCGAGCCCCATGAGGAAGGGCAAACTATCGGTAGATGCGTAAAACGCAACGGACTCGAAACCCAAGAGAAGGGCGACATATTCTCCCGCTCCGCGCTAGCGAAAGGTTGTCTGGCGCAGGCCGCGGTCGACGCGCGCGCGGGGGGTCAAAAGAGCCAAGGCCCCGGCGCGCGCGCGCAGGCCGAGCGGCGCCGCTCAGAGGAGAGAGGTCCTCTGCGTGCGCACGGGCGCACTCAGCGCCGCAGGCATCGGAAGAGGCAAAGGGTGGAGGGATGGTGGGGGCCAAAGCAGCTGCAGACGACCACGACGCGCGCGAAGGGGAGAATCAGATAGAGCATTCTCCCGCTCCGCTCTAGCGAAGGGTGGTCTGGCGGAGGCCGCGGCCGACGCGCGCGGGCGGGGGGGCCAAAGGAACCAAGCCCCTGCCGCGCGCGCGCAGGCCGACCAGCGCCGCTCAGAGGAGAGAGATCCTCTGCGTGCCCACGGGCACGTTCAGCCATACCCATGCTCGCAGCCCTTACGCAGTGGCAAAGCTTTGGCGGGCGGCCGACATTTGCGGGGACCACGTAGACAGGCCCACGGCAAGAAGAGAGGCGACGAGGCGGTCGCTAGCGGCAGCGACATACGCCACGCGCGCACGGGCTAGAACAGGAAGGGCGGGTAAGACAGACGAAACGGCGGCGGCCTGAATATGGCGCTCGGCGCTACTGGCGCCAGCGGCCACGCCAGAAAACGCGAGGGACGTCTCTGTGGCCATCTAGACGTCTGTCGCCGCGCGTGCTGCGACGGGTGGGCACGGCGGGCCTTCGGCGCCTGGTTTTGGCAAGGGAAGCATCCCCGCTGGCTTCCAGTCTATCGCTCGGCGCTCGGCTTCTGTCGGGCGTGTCTCCCTACAGGGGGATCTCCGACGAAAAAATGGGAAATACCCAAACAATGCACCCAAAAATGCCAAAACATACTAAAAACTAGTCCCCCGACTATTTTTAGACTATTTTTCGATTATTTTTTGGGTATTTCCAATTTTCATCGAACATCTCCCTGTAGGGGGGCAGGCCCGACTTAACGCTAGGCAGCGACAGGTTGCAACGGCGGGCGACCAAAAGTTCGCTAGGGCGGAAGGACATAGCGAAGCCCATCAGCAGGAGGGCTGCCTGACGAAAAATTAAACAGACCCCCACAATAGTCAAAAAATTGTCCAAAAATAGTCTGGGGACAATTTTTTGAATATTTTTTGACCTTTTGGTGGTATTTTTTGGTATTTTTTATTTTTCGTCGAAAATCCCCCTGTAGGGGGACACGCCCGACATAGGCCAGTCCCAAAGCAGGCTTAGGCCAACCACGTGGGGGGCCTAGTAAGTCTTCGCTGCTTGGCCACATCCCAGGCCTCCGAACGGAAGGCGCGCCGGTGAGGATGCGCAGCTTGGATGCCAAGCCCGCCGCTGGAAAAATCATACTGTCGGAGGTCTGGGGATGACGATCACGACCACGAACACGACGACGACGACGGCCACGGTGGCGACGGCGACGACGACGACGACGACCACAGTGGTGACGGCGACGACGACGACGACGACGACGGCGACGACGACGACCACGACCACGGTGGCAACGGCGACGACGACGACGACGACGACGAGGGCCCCCGCGGTCCAGCACCAGCGCCGCGCACTCGCTGGCGTCCCCTTCGTGCGCGC